TGGAGGGAACAGCTGCAGCACAGCCTGAACGAGGGAGCCTCGGCGGGGGGGGGCCATCAGGGTCCCCAGAAAGCCAAAAAGGCCTCAAGATGAAGCCGAGATGCTCTGACAGAGACCAGAGGGGGCCTGGCAGAAATGGAGGGAGGGGCAATCATGGGGTGGGGGGCAGGCCCATGCTCGGTTGCCAGCCCCGAGGTGGCATAGAAGGTGGTGCCTGATCTGGCTCCAGAGAGGAGTCATGGGAACAAACACAAGGTAAAAAAGAAGTCCTGCGGGGCTAGTAAATAAAATAGGAGGAGGAAATGTTCGCTGCCTTGAGTTATTTATAAAAATAATAAAGGTGGGATAAAAAAAAAATCTTGAAAGCTCTTTAGCTCAGTGCAAAATAAAATCATACTTGGTTTTTGACGGTTGCTGCCCGTGTGTTGAATTTGGACAAAGAGTGCCGCTCGCTGTCTATAGCTCGCTTTTTATGGCTGGTGAGCTACGGAGCCTACCCAGCCCTGGTTCCGCAGGGTTCTGGCAGGTGTAGCACGAGGACCAGGGCCTCCGCCTTAAACACACTTTGAACCACCCAGCGCCGAGCCTCGAAGCGATCCAGATCCCAGGCCGTGGAAAGAGGATTCCCGGGAAAAGACAAGCCCCGTCCTCGGCCTGGAGTGGGCCGGGTGAGTGCTCGGGGCTGGAGGTGACCCCCACTCCCCTTCACTGAGGACTCCAGAGCCCCTCTCGCCATGGCTGTGGAGCCCTGCCCTTTCGCGGTGGAAACCCTCAAAATCTGTGCTAAGCCCTAAAATAGGGCTAGAGGAAAAGAGACCCTCATCCTGACCTGGAGGCCTGGGAACTTCGTGGGCCTTCCTTGGCAGCAGCACGGAGCAAGTGTGGGCTGGGGTCATTGACCTGCCTCCCCAGGGTTCCCGCCCAAGAACTAACCAGGCCCGGTGCAGCTTAGATGCTGAGTCCTGCTGCTGAGACAAAAGCCAGAGTCTATCTTTGGCGGCCTGGTGGACATCCTGCCGGACCCCGTCCGGGTGCTCCTCCAGAATATTTATCCCACTTCCCAGTTGGCTTTGGGGGGGGCAGTGTCTCCCTCCAAAGTACCAGCGTTCCCCAGGTCAGCCATCTAGGTTCTGCCATAAGGCAGAAAGGGGCCCAGCCCTCCTTCCTGCCCCGCACAAGGTCCAGCTGGGTCCCGGGCCTGCCTCCCCTCCTGAGCCGCGGGAGGGGGCCTGGGAGGCTCGGGCCAGAGGTGCCCGGACGGAGGCGCCTCTCCCGGGAGGAGAGAGAAGGCCCTTCAGGCGCAGCTCCGGGGCCGCCCGCTCTGCCCCTTCGCCGCCCGCACGAGCTGCGCCTTGGCCCCCTTCCTCCTCTGCAGCTGGCCGGCTTCCTCAGGAAGACCCGCAGGAAATGGGCGGAGAGGCGCTTCTGCGCGGAGGGTCGCGGCTGTCTGGGCAGCGGGGCGTCCTGCTCGCAGGGCCCCCGGGACAATGGAGCGCTGCTGGGCTCCGCTGCTGCTGCTGCTCGGCCTGCCGGGCCCCGGGAACGGCTCCGTGGAGCTGGAGCCCGGGAGAAGGCACGTGTGCAGGTCGGCGGATAGGTAGGTAGGAGGGAACCGGCCATCCTGCTTCTCGCCGGAGGCAGCCCGCGCGCTCCGCTCCGGGCGGGCCAGGAGAACCCCGA